CGCGCATGTGTCTGGTTCTGTGTACATCTGTGCGTGCATGTGTGCACGTGTCTGGGTCTGGGCATGTTCGTGTGCATGTGTTGTGTGTGTGTGTGTGATTCTCTGTGTGTGTTTGTATGTGTATGTCTGGCATGCTGGCACTCTGACACCTTACAGGGTAGACATTGCAGTTTTTTTGGCACTCTGGCTAAAAACATTGCCTACCCCTGGGCTAGAGGGAACTATAAGGGGATGGAATAGACACAATTTTCAAGCTTGGGTGTCTACATTTAGTTTCCTAAGGTGGTTTTCAAAAGTGCCTGAGTGACGTAGGAATAGTGCCATGGATTTGGGTATATGTATTCCAAAGTCATTTAAGGCACTTCTGAAAATGTCACCTCAGGTACTTTAGTGTGAATTTAGGAGCTCAACTGTAGGCATCCAATGTGAGAGATTTTATCTGGTAGCAAGAAAGGAGGGTGCTATCTGTTTTAGAGCTGGGAAAAAGTGAAGATCTGAAGACAAATGAGTTCTGTGTCTGCAGTGCATAGGCAAGGCTAGAGTGGGAGAGGCTAGCTAGTATTCAGGTATCAACGGGGTTGGTTATTTGCGTGCGTGGCAGGGATGGGCAGTGGAGCTGGGATCTGGTCATGAAATTGGGAATGGGCCAGAGCAGCATAGGGTTTGACTGCTATAGGGATACTAGAGGTGTGAGAATTCAGAAGCTGGGTAAATGAGCAGAGAAGCAGGTTTTCAAGTACTAGAGAGTGAGCAAAGGCAAGGGGATGGACATGAGGGGATCCTGGATGCCTGCAATAGTAAGGCGTGAAGGGGCAAAAAATTGGGTGGGAGTCAAGGGGTGAAGATCTGTCAGGGTAGAGATGTGGGCAGAAGGGAGTATTTGCATATCGGAGTATAACACTTTTTTTTTCTCTTTGAAGCTGTGGATTTTATTTGTGACCATCCAGATATCAAGGCAATTAGCTTTGTGGGGTCCAATCAGGCTGGAGAGTACATCTACGAAAGGGGATCTCGGAATGGCAAGAGAGTCCAGGCCAATATGGTAATACCCTTCACTATAGTAGACCTTTGTGCTGAAAGATTAGTCCCCCCTTATATAGGTATTTAGTCCAATCCCATTCAGCATCGAGGCTGATTCTTGAACTCCTGCTACTGGATGCTTATTTCCCCTTACTGTTAGAACTCTGGCAGCTCACTAACAGCTTCTGTATGGAGCTGTCCTTGCAGAGCTAGAAAGAAGGGAAATCCAGCGGGCATATTTAGCCATTTGAGATCATTTATATGATGTATTTTAGGGAGCCAAAAATCATGGTGTAGTGATGCCTGATGCCAACAAGGAAAACACCTTGAACCAGCTTGTTGGAGCTGCTTTTGGAGCAGCGGGCCAGCGCTGCATGGCCCTCTCTACAGCAGTCTTAGTGGGAGAGGCACAGAAATGGCTGCCAGAGCTGGTGGAGAGAGCCAAGAATCTGCGAGTTAATTCAGGTAATGTTTAGTTACTGCTGGTGAAACACCCAGCTTGTGTTTGCTTATAGACTTCTAGCTGTGTAAGTTTAGCCCATTGCAGTGTGTGATGCTGAGTTCTTGGGCTCCGTAGCTTTGGTACAGAATGGTAGGGAGTGGGGTGAAAACCTTTTCATTAGAATGCTAGTCTCTGTGGGCATGGAACAAATGCTTTGGTTCTGGCCAGTCGAAAGCACATGATTGGGATGGATGGGGAGTCTGTGGTGAGGTAAGACTTGGGAGTATTGATAGAAGCATATCTTTACATTTTACGTTGTACTTTAACTAAAATTGTCTAATGGATCCAACCCTGCTTTTAATGTAGCAACTTAGTTTAGAATTTCTTGCCAACTTCTATTAAGTTTGCAGTGAGGAAAGGGAAATGGGAACATTCACATTCTTTTGAATTAAAAATTAGATGATTATTGTTTTTAGGAGGATTCCCATTTCTTTAATTTGCATTTAGTAAAGTCCTGCAAAAGGAGACTTTTTCTTCCAGTTAAGTCAATCCACTGTTGGATTTTGGTATGGTAGTGACTCAATTATTCCTCCTCTTTAGACAAGCATTATAAACATACCTGAGGAGAAAAGAGATGGAAAACTTTGTCTCACTGTTTGCTTCATTCATGTACTGCAGGCAGGATACGAGACACAGAAAGGTCAGTCATTGGCAGGTGCATTTTAACCTCTGAATCTGTGAGATGTCATTTGGCTGACCATACTCTGACCTTCTATCACCTCTGGCCCCTTTGCATGCCTGAGTAAGACTTGCAGTAGCCAGTTGGGCCTGTTAGCCAGTTGAGCTGGATATGGTGCTGGTGGTGGGACAGAGTTCACATCTTGTTCTAAACTTGGTGAAGTTCGGAATTAATAGGCTCCTATGGATGTGCAGGGAGCCTGCTCTGATGCCTGGAAAGATTAATAAAGTCTGCTGAAGCACAGAAATTGATGTGCTCCTGCAGCCTTCTGTGTCATGTGTATCAGCATTCCCGTGCTGAAAAAATGGTAGTGGGGCGCTTTCAAATAAAACACGCTTGATAAGCTTTAGTTCAAAGCATCCCACAGTCATTTTTTCAGTGTGGGGACACTGATACATGTGACGCATGGGCACTTTTAATTAGTGCAGCTCACTAATTAAAGCACCTGGCACCACAGCCCAGAACATGTGTAAAAATACCCAATAAGTCTAAAAGGACAGAACAAGAGACTAGAATAGGGAAACAACAGACAAAGGAGAGGATAGTGGGAATATTG